AACGTCTTTGCCAAGAGACGAAAACCCAATCCCGATGGCAAACACCGGGGGGGGCGGCTTGTTTTACAACGTCGTTGCCAAGCGACGAAAACCCAAGGGGGGCGAGGGGGGGGCTTGTTTTACAACTTCGTCGCGACGACAACCCAACCCCGATGGCAAACACCGGGGGGGAGGGAGGGGTGTGGTATATTAAAAAATGGGGCTAGCAGCTAAAAAAAAGTAATTGCTGTTGTGCTTCGCTTGTTGGTTCAAGCTTTGATCGAGAAATCTCAAAAGCGTTCAAGCGTGTGATGGGTGTTCAGGCTAGCACGGGAGGCACTGGTCGCACACTTGGCCTTCGCGCACAAAGTGTAGAGAGGCGTACAGCAGTACATGTCCCACCAGTGGTGGTGCGTAGCAGCGTCTGTGTGTTGTTGGTGTCATGTGCCCCTCTCCGCGGAAAGAGAGAGAGGCCGCTGCTGCTGCTGCTGCTGCTGCAACCAAATGTTGATCTCTCCTCTGGCTTCCTCTGCCGATAGCTAACAGCAGCAGTGTATGGCACACCCTTCTCCCGCCGTCTCGCCCTCGCTGTGGTCTGTGTCTCCCTCTCCCTATTTGTCCATGTCTGGCTCTTGTGTGTGTGGTGTGTGGTGTGCGAGGCTATCCGTCTTGGTTCAAAATCAAACGACGCCTCCTCTCGGTGTTGCAAGGGGCCACAAACTTCCCTACTTCAAGTTGGGTACCGACGCTGCACTATCTCGACGCACAGAGCACGGATTGAAAAGGTAGCAGTTGGGGCAGCTCGGGCAAAATAGTACTTGTTGTGAACACGTCTTAGATTGCAATTTGGTGCCGAGATGGTGAAATGGGCTGGAATCTGCTGGGTAATGTATCGAGTCTGGTCACAGACGGACAGAAGACAGACAGACAGACAGACAGACAGACTTACTCGAGCCCGTTTTGCCCCCCCCCTCTTATCAGTTTTTTTTTTTAAACAAAAAGCGTCCCTATCGGGCCACTTCTCTTCAAAAAAACCTATAGAATGTATCCGCCTATACAGATGCTTTTGTTCTTAGCTCCAACTGGCATCACTGACAACTCAGTGTTAGGCTTTCACAAACTCAAAATAGGCCAAGCCTCCAGTTGGTTTCAATCCACTTACTGAAAAGACTTCACGACATCCCTTTCGACTGAGGTTATATCTCGAACGGGTTGTCGTTCTGTGAGGTTATGTTTACTTTCTAGAAAAGCTGCTGTATGTCGTGATCATGTCACGAACCGTCACGTCACTCGTGATTGCTGTGCTGCTGCTGCGGTGGTTCTCGCCTAGCTTCAGTTGCCCCAACAAAGGCGGCCGGTTGAAGCAGGCGTTGCCTAGAAGGAAGCAATAGCAGCTCCAGCTGTTGCTGTCAGTGCGGTTATGAACAGTTCAGCGCAGTGCCAACCATAAACCAGAAACCCGTACAATGTTCCAGCACATGTTGCCGATCAGCTGTAACAGGAAACTCGCAATTGCGCCGCAGTTTCCTCGAGGCTGCCGGCTTTTCGGCTTGTCCGCTTTTTCAGCCAGGCTCGCTAGAACCATCCATACGCGTAGAGGATGATGAATGAGGCCCTCATCTACCATGTTTTAGAAAAGTACCTGGCTGTCTGGCGTGCTGAGCAAGAAACGAATACCTGCTGCTGCGGCTACGGCTGCGGCTGCTGTATCAGCAGCGAACACGACCTGTCGCTGTCTACATAAGAGTACTTCAGTAGGAGCAAGTAGATTCCAGCAGGGGTAGCTTTCCAGGTAGTTGAAGAGCAAAGCAAGCGGTCAGGGAGCGCTTCATGGCGAGCTACCGTCGGCAGTTGCTATACTTTGGGGCAATCGTGGAAAGTTGAGCAAACGATGTATGTATGGTACACCTGAGCGTCGATGAATCAATCTGGGAGTATACGCCTGTGAGGTTTTTCTCGAAGAGCATCGCGACCTGCAAATCAAACGACACGCCCACTCGGGTGGTATCACTCCCTCAGGAAGGTGGGATGGTGCCGTACTTGAGTAGCAAAGCCCGAAGCACCAAGAGGGTGCCAATGCCGAAACAGTATGATCTGATTTGTTGTATGTAACGTTGCACTCGGAACGGTCTTGATGAGATATCGAGGTGCAGAGATGGCACCCGCCCTACGTGGCGCGACTTTCAAAGCTCAATTTCTCCACAACCGAGGGGATGCGGGAAGAGACCGATACGCCTACGGAAAGCCCTCGACGAGATGTTTCCAAAACGAACAATCTTGGTGTTGGCACCATCAAGCTTGGTTGTGGAGCAATGGAGCTGTGAAAGGCGCTCGAGGAGGGCTGCCATCTCTCCGACTCCTACGGAATACCACGGTACGGTATACGGTACGGTACAGACAAGCTTGGTTGTGGAGCAATGGAGCTGTGAAAAGCGCTCGAGGAGGGCTGCCATCTCTCTGATCCCTACGGAATACCACGGTACGGTATACGGTACGGTACAGACAAGCTTGGTTGTGGAGCAATGGAGCTGTGAAAAGCGCTCGAGGAGGGCTGCCATCTCTCTGATCCCTACGGAATACCACGGTACGGTATACGGTACGGTACAGACAAGCTTGGTTGTGGAGCAATGGAGGTTTGAAAGGCGCTCTAGGGGGGCTGCCATCTCTCGACCTCTTGCGGTATCTCCACCTCCACCGTCTTCGGCTCGCCGCTCGGGCACCGGCAGCTCTGGTCAAATAGTCTCCACGCGCCCTTCTGGCACAATGACTGAAACGGGTTACGGTTAGAGTCATAGGGAAAATGCCCTCTCCCTCTTGTTGTGTGCGGCAATCGAGCTTTGAACTTCGGCCCAGCACGGTCTGTCATACGCCGTCCACCGCCGATTGTAAACCCTGACTGCGGTTGCCGCTGATCGACGCTTACGACTACACCACGTACATCCCCGATGGAGAAGTGATCCCGTGGGAGATACACCTGTCAGCTGTGTGCGGTGCTACAACAGCAGTAGCGCGAACCAGCAGAAACTACTACTGTAGCACTTGTGCTTTTTTGCCCGCTCAGTAACGCCTGACCGATGTCTGACGCATGTGTACCTTCTCTGGTGGTGTGTTTCCCCCGCTGCCCCACGTCGTCCCTATTTTGCAATCCGCTGGGCCCCTGCAGCGGTGTCCCGCGTGCTTACCGCTCCCTTGGACGTGGCAAAAATACGGTGAGAGATAAAGCTGCAGTGGGCAACACCCAGCGCCAATCAAGCCTTGGGCCCTTTCCACCCGTACCGATATCTGCGTCAGCTCCCCTTACAAGTTTTCACAAGTATTTGTGAGGAAAGCGGCAACGTTAGGTATCAACGGCCGTGGAAGCGTAGTAGATTCAGTGCTGCTGTCTGGTCGGGGAGGGCCGTTGTAGCCTTGAATGCTTTCCTCTATTTGCCTTCCGACGCGCCCTTGTGCAGCCCCGTTCGGTGTTGCGAGGAGTAGGCACCCGGTCTTTGTTACAGCGGGCGGTGCGTTCTTGGTCGGTATAACACCAATTTTGGTTCTCTTTCAGAACCAGTACCTCCCCAACGTCCGTCCTGAACCCAAAGGCAACAAATACCGTGGTTTTCAGGGTATCCATTTTGAAGAACTGTGAGGTTCGGTGGTATACAGTAGTACGGAAAGGTTCACAATCGGCGCATAGGTTTAGACCAAACACAAACCATTTGGCGTGAAACCCACGACAGTTCGCAATATGGAAGACCCCCCGTCACCTCGCCTCGCCTAGAACCGGGTGTTCGCTAGAATAGGTGGAAGCGCCCGTACTCCGTTCCTCAACAAGGAACGCGGCCCGTAAGGGCCGTAAGGGGAAAAACTACGTGTTTACTATAAGCGACGAAGCAACGACCCTCCCCCCCTCCTCCCCCTCCCCAATCGCGTGCCCCCCCCCCGTGCCTCCCGTGTTGTCAGGTTCCAGCTGGACCACGGCGCGACGAGACGCTATGACTCGACCCTGTGGGCGGCGATGCGGAGCATCTACGGCGAGGAGGGATTGGTCACTTTGTGGAGGTACGGCAGTCGAACCTCGGATAAGGACATACATCACGCCTGGTATTTTGCTCAAATTGGTGTCCTTAAGCCGGGGAAGTGTCCTTAGGTTGATATATGCCATCACACCTGGTATTTTACTAAAATTGGTGTCCTTAAGCCGGGGAAGTGTCCTCAGGTTGATATATGCCATCACACCTGGTATTTACTAAAATTGGTGTCCTTAAGCCGGGAAGGTGTCCTTGAGGTTAATGTTTATGATATCCCTCCTTGTGTTGTACATTCTCCGAGCCACCCTATGCCGGTGAAAAAAGGATGTCCTTAACCGGGGGAGTTTCGTTAATTTTCGGTGTCCTTCAACGAGGCACGACTATACGCTTGTGATCATCTCCCCTCCCTCTGCATTCCACCAACCAACCATCGGCCAAGGTCGTACATGCGCACGTACCCAATCCTGACTAATCATGCGAAATATTTCACCTCTTGGCGCACCCCCAAGAAGTAGACGGGGCAGACTGCTCTGTCTCGGTACATACTTTTTAAAGTCTGTCAGAGGAACGCGCCGTAGTATCATATCGAATGAGGAGCTGGACGCCCCTGGCATATTCTCCACGTTTTGGTATCACCTGCTTGGTATTGGCTTCCTTGGGATCACTTCCTTTTTTGTCGCCCCCGGTAGGTATGACCTGCTTTCGACATAGGACAATAACCGCCAAGTCTTGGAGGGCCACGGGATTTTCAAACACACACCACATCATGTTCGACTAATTTTACTGTTTGAAACCCTCTTCCGTACCGCGTCCCGCCACAATAAAAAAAAAACACGGGACCCCCCTGGGCGGGGGGATAGAGGGAACCTACCGGCGATGTTTCTTTGGGCGGCCTACACGGCGGTCCAGTTTAGCGCGTACGAACAGCTTCGAGCCACGGACTTCCTCCTCTCCCGACAGCACAACAGCGTCAGCGGCGGCGGCGTCAGGTACCGCGGCAGTAGCTGTCCGTCTTCGTCGTCCCCTCACGAACGGCGGGGGGCCGGCAGAGTCGGGGAGGTGGGGGGGTGGAGGACGGGAGGGCGGGAAGGCGAGAATCAGTACCAAGCACTTCGGCGGCAACAGGATGGGCGAGGCCGAGGCCTGCCCCCAGCGCTGGCGAACTTCGTGTACGGTGCGATGGCCGCCTTCACCGCCACCCTCGTCACGTACCCGCTCGACATCACTCGCACAGCGCTCGCATTTCAAGTGAGAGAGGGCTGGATCATTCTATTCTGTTCTTTGCGTTGCCCCCCCTCCCCTATGTGAGAACTTGGTCCGGTGAGAACCCAGCGTGCTCCGTCCGGCTTTGTAGGGATGCGAGGTCAATGGTCCAACGACTACGGCATGCACGACTATGAGCACACACACACACACACACACACATTCATTGGTCAGCCGGTTAGCGCGGTCGATGCTAATAATAAAAACACACACACACACACACACACGCACTGAGACTGACGTCTTTTCATTGGTCAGCCGGTTAGCGCGGTCGATGCTTGTAATAAAAGAACACACACACACACACACACGACCTTTTGTGAAACGTAGCCTGGGCCGGCGAAAACCCGACATACGTATCGCTCCGTCCTGGCAATGTTTGGGTGCGAGGTTAATGGTCTAACGACTACGGCGTGCGTTCGCATGCGTTTACCTCTCCCCCCCCGACCCACCCACCCTGCCGCTTCTTATTGACCTTCTCCAGAAATAGTGCCGTTTTTTCTATCAAGTCTTTGTTCTTAGAGCGCTGCTTTGATTTTATCGCGTAAGCGCATGGTTCTTCTCCGGTGTGCGGTCCTTGTGTGTGAAATGTTCAGAGACCTGAGAAGGTTGGTTGCCAAGTGTGTGGCTTGTCGACGTTCTTTGGCGTGGATGCTCAGAAAGACCCCTGTGACCCGGAACTCGTGACCGAGCACGGGGACACTGAGCGGTTTCGAAAGTTATTTACAACTCGTTGTAAGGGCAAAAATAAAACAGGATGTGACGCAAGATACTACATCCCCTGGACCGAAAGCTCGATTACCGCCCACGAAGAACCCGAGATTTAAGTGGTGCGTATTTTCGGAAAGCCGTCGACGAGACAATTCCTACGCCGCCGCCATCTTCGGTATATTCCGTCGGCGTTTGTGCGAAAGAGTAGTCTAGCTTGGAAAATCGGGCCAGGGGTGAGTGGTATCTCGTGCGACCTATCGTACATTAGCCATTCGATTTTCCCGGCGGGGGCATGTTTTTTTTTTTTCGTTTGTTCTGCTGCAGGCTGGAAAACGACGGGTGGCTAATTTTCACGTTTCTTCAGTGAAGCCTGGGTACACCCCGGCGTGTTGAGGCTCTCGTTCCACTGTGGAACATTCTATTGTAACACGCGTGTTTCCCACTCGCTGTCCTCCCCCGCGCAGGGAGTTCCGAAGCGATACAACAGCATGTCGGAGTTCTTGCGGCGCACGGCCCGCGAGTCCGGGGTCAGGGGACTGTTCCGGGGGGCGACACCGACACTGGCCATGATCACCCCACAGATGGGAGTGAGCTTCGCGGTGTGGGAGGCCCTCACGGGCGGCGCGCCCCGCGCGTTTTCTGGGTCGGGTTCGGGTGCGTCGCCGGCGGCGACGTTGTCGTGGCAGCTGGGCGCGGGCATGGTCGCCGGGATGGTCGGGAAGCTGGTGGTTTTCCCTCTAGACACGGTGAAGAAGAGAGTGCAGACTGCGGTGAGAACAAGGATTCACGGGGAGGAGGAGGGGGGGGGGGGGTNATGCTTTCACTTCGAGAGACAGTTGTAAGCACTGTGTAACTGCCTCGAGGGTGCTTGACCATTTTAACACAACGTAGTGCGATCATCCCCCTTGCGCGGAGTGAGGGTTCTCGACCCCGCACAACATGATCTACTCGACCACCATTATGGTTACCGCCAAAAAGAAAAAACAGAGGTAAAAAAATCGAATGGCTATTTCGCTGGAGAGACGCTGCGCAATCCCACCGATTGTCGGAGGGGGGCGGGGGAGGTCGTACTATTTTTTGCATGCCTTAGCGGCTAGAGCATTGACCACGCTTCGTAATTGTAGGAGGGGGGGCGGGGGGAATAAAAACCCGTAGCTGTACAATCGTTAAGGGAATCACGCTCGATGAGTGTACAAGCTAAACCTTCGAGCCTACCAATCAAGACATTTCAGCATGTATTTGTTGCAGCTACATACATAACATTGAGCAAGCGAAGCATCATCTTCCGGCCATACCCGGCACGTCACCGCGTGCCCCCCCGCTCCAGGTGATGATGGAGCGCAACTCGACCTACGGCGTTCTCCCCAAGTACGCGGGACCCGTTCACGCGTTCAAGACAGTCTTGAGGGAGGAGGGCGCCGCCGCGCTGTTCCGGGGAACGGTCCCCGCCATGTGGAAAACCGGGGTCTCGACCGCGGTGACCTACGCGGTGTACGAGTGGGTCAGGGTGGGCACGGCTGTCGCACTGGACTGAGAGAGCGTTGGGGGGGACGTTAAGTGCTCTTGTCTGACGCTGGCTGTTGATTGTTTCTCGGCGACTAGCCGTGCCTCGGTGTACATACAACGACAAAGTGGATACGGGCAGGGGGGGGAGGGGGGTCACAGATGCTTTGGCGAGACGAACGCCAACCGTTCAATGAAGGAGGTGTTGCCACAAGCGTGCGGTGCATGTGTGTTGTGCGTGTAGCCCCGCTCTTCGACAGAACGCAGCACACCACGGGCAACACACACGCACACAATGAAGAATCTCCATGCGCTACGGCGGGAAGTGGTTGCCCTGCTGCGAATTTTGACACACCCGAGAGTTTCGTACAGCGTCCTCGTGTGGGAGGCCGCGTGCGTGTGTGTTTTTATTATTAACATCGACCGCGCTAACCGACTGACCAATGAAAAGACGTCAGTCTCAGCACCGGTGAAAACCAAGTGTGTGCGCGTTTGCGTGTGTATCACCGAAAGCCGAGCGGATAGTGATTGGAGGCAGTCATCGCGTCTGTGTGTGTTCACGTGCGTATCTCTATCGCCGAGCGGTCGGAGACGTTGGGTTCATCTGGCGTTCAGTGGTCGGTGATGTGGCAGACCGTGTACCCGACACCCGGTCCTATTCAGAGTGCTGCTGATACAACTTGTATTCTTTCCTTGTGTGTCACGCGATTGCACCGGCCAAATGCAGGGCAATCGGCCTTTCGGTTGTGCGGCCTTTTTCAGATACCACTTCGGAACGGCGACGTCTGTATGTTGTATCCCCGATGAAGTACTAAAGGAGCCCGCACGAGTGGCAAAAGAGGCTGAGTCCGGCACAAAGAAATCCGGCTGTTTCATGTCGACTGAGCGTTTGTATGTATGTTGGCAATGGGTCTGTGCAGCAAGCAAACGGGACTTGGTTTGGCCAGAGGCAGACTGTGGCACCGGCGAACAGTACCAACAGCTGTGACTGTTTCCTGTTTGGTCACGATTGGTTCGCCAGCCCACTTTTCAAGTTGTCACCTCGAGACCTCCACATTTGCGTGCGGAGACGCTGCGAGAGTTTTATAGTTCTGTTGTGTCTTGTCAACCCCTGGGTCCTTGGTAGCTGTATGTGGTGGTGGTGCACGGTTGTTTTTTTTTCCTCTGTACCTCGAGCACCACACACACCTTAGCTGCTGCTTCTGTGTTGAGACCTTCGGGAACTGTAGATAAATGTAATTTTAGGCCCCCCGTTCTCGTAATTTGTGGAAGTCGTCTTGACGACAGTTTCTGGCTCTGTGTCGGGGGTGTGCTGCATTTTTGCCCCTTCATGTACAGTGACAGAAGCGAGGCATTTTGAGCACGCCTGCACGGCCGCCTCAGAAACAATGTTGAGCGCCAAGCACACGTCTGAGAGCCGTTTGTGTATGCGGGGCACGGACGACAGACAGCGCACGTGTGTTTTTTCATTTTGTTGTTTTTTGCAGTGTTGTTTTTTGTTTGTTGTTAACGTTTTGTTCGCACACAAAACAGGTGTCGCCTGTACACCCAAACGTAGCGCCGTGTACGGGCCGCACCAAATGGCAAGAAAATGCGATTGTTATTTTGTGTTTGCCGTTCCGAGTTTTACTCATCGTGGGTGTCGAACCTGTTATTAGCTGTTGTTGCCAGTAGCAACGCAAGAATGAAGAAGCCGATGCCGTGAGCTTTTCTTTCGTCTTGTTGTGTGCTTTTATGTTGCGCCCCCTACGCTCTTGTTGTCCGGGCGTTGAGTGGATGGTTTGTGCTGTGCTGTGCAAACTTGTTTTTCTTTTGCTTTTCTTTGTTGGGTTGGTTCAGCGTATCTTACCCGCGGCTGTCCCTTCGCACGTGATTGATTGCCGGGACGTCAGAGTCACCCCCCGCACCGCCTTTACTTGGAGATGAATGCAGAACACGAAACGCAATGGATGTGTTGCAACAAAGTGGTGCAGGCATACGCCGATGTGTACCTTGGCGTAGCATTCATCATACCATGTTGACACGCACGGTCCTGGGGGATGGAGCCAAAACGTGGAGGTAGAGTCGATCTACCGCTGCAGAGCCACATTTTTTCGCCCGGGAATGGCTTCATGCAATCCCCCAAGGCTTGTCTAACCGATCAGGCAGGGCGCGTGACATTTTCAATGTTCCACCGGCGATGAATTTCGAGATGCTACGTCGTTCTTCCTTACCCCGGTCAGCAGGGGGCATCGCACGCCACGCAGTACGTGTTTGTGCAAGGCGTTGTTGTTTGCATACTGAAAGACTCCGCCCTCCAATCTACCGCGTGCCCGTTCCGCGGACCAAGCCGTCCCGGCCGTCGATACTCACTCAGTAGAAGCGGCGCATTATGGCGGTGTGTCTGGGAAACAACCCTCACTACCCAACCATCCGAAACCACCGCCGCCCAAAACCTTTGCCTACCCGGCACCACCCTGTCGGGAGTATCAGAGGACGGAGCGTACTTGGAGTGTCAACCTGTCGAGAAACAGCACCGTTTTTTCCCACAATGTATGTAACGACGTAATATGGGAGTACGTGTGCATTGTCTGTCATCACGCACACCCAACCCAAAGCGTGAGGCCACTATTTATACTACTTTACTAGTCGAAATTGCAGCTACAATAGCTACAAAGGTACACGTACAAGGAGTCCGCGGTTTGTGCGACATGACTGTTTGAAACTACTAGCGGATGGGTGAAGGCGATGGGGCAGGAACGTAACCCGGACTTGCGATGGTTGCACGCAAGAACTACACTACAATGGCGTGCTCGCTATTTCTACTTGAAACGACTGATAACGTGTACTTCCAGGGGAGCTAGCAGCTACATGTGGGAGTTATTGCTGAGTGCCAATGCTTCCCCCCCCCCCCCACCCCCCCCCCCCCCCCTCCCCCCCCCCCCCCCCCCCNCCCCGCCGCCGCCGCCCTCCACCGCCTGTACCACCAACATCAAACACATCGCTGCGGTCCGTTCACGGCCGATCCGAACCTGCACACATCGATACACGTGCCTCGAAGCTCTCACGACATGAACGAAAATCTTCCACGAGGGGGTACCAATTTATACCCCGCCCCTCAATTGCACAGCACCGTCTGTCACCGCGCATGATACCTCGGAGCGGGGATTGTTTGCTCCTTTCGTGGGGACTCGTCCCCGCGAACGGTCGGAGACCAAGGTTTGCCCTAAGAGACCGATCATCAAGTGGCGACCCTTCCTCTCCAGTCACCCTCTCAAGACGAGAAAATTGACGGGCGAGACCCTCTGCCAAAGGAGGGGGTCACTCACGAAGCGCGGGTAGTACTCCAAACCGCAAAGAGGTCTTTGGACATTTCAAACGGACAACGCTACAAACGGTGCCACATACCACAACGGAGGGAGAGATCTACACACATCACATAAACGAGAGAGTTTTATTCGCAAACACACCACGCATGCATGCCGTTGTGTAGGTTCTCATGGCTCGTCTGATTGCCCTGGCGACAAGCAAGTGCACTATTTGTCTTGTCGTTCAAGGCTCTCACCATAAAATCGATTCGGATGTCTCTGCGTAACGGGCGGGGTGCACAAGCAAGCACTTGTTAACCAAAACATAGACCAACCCCACGACGATGTCTACTTCAAAATCGCTCCAGAACTGCATAACTGTGGCGCACATTGTTCTTGGAAACAGGGTTGTGCACTTGATTCAATATATTCCATACTCCGTTGACATACGACTATGTCTTCCCTTTTTCGAAACAGAGCCCTGAAGCAACGTCACTGTTTTAGTTGCTACCACACATTAATCAAACGCGGAAAACAACGATGGGAAGACCCTGTCGCAAGGAGGACCCCTACAAGATTCTTGTTGTATGCAATGACGCCTGCTCTCCTTTCTTATTAAGCACAACTCCACCAAAACCGATGCACGTATCATACATCTAGTGACGTTTGGAGGATTTCTAAACAAGGAACAGAATCGTCAAGCATGTTTGCGGCCTACGCCACTAATTTACCGGGTGAGACCCTTTTGGTGATTTATTTATTTCACGAGAAGTAGACGACCGTCCTTCACACGGACGAAAGAGGGAATGCTCAAAGAGGGGCTTCCACAGCAAGGAGGGGCCCCGTGAATCATTGCGGTGCCCCATACCAAACGGTAATCTTACCAGTCTGCGTGACACCAAATCATCCAGCACATGTATCCACCACCAATGTTCGCAGACCCACGAACAGAGCACGCTTCTTCGAGCCACACACAACAAGTTGCAACGATTCACTGCACGGTACGTCCGTCATAGCCCGCTATTCAACACAGTTTTGGGACTAGCTGGAATTTCCGAAAGGCGTTCTTCCTCTCTATCATTGATCTCGGATAGGCGGCAGGAAGCTCATTTTCCTACAAGTCTGGCCTACCGTGCGTCCGCAAGACAGTCTTCGTATGAATAAATGTCTACTGCCGCGAGCGGCCTACGGATAGCTGTCTCGAAATTCTTTCGAGTGCCTTTCCCGTGTGGCGTCGGTCTTTGCGGCCTTGATTCCCCACTTGTCCTGCTCGGGGGTGCGGTAAGTCATAGACAGAGATGGGGGGGGAGTAGCGGCAGGGTAGTTTCGGGGCGAGCAGGAGGTTCGTGACGCACAAAAAGTGCAAATAGCACCACGTGCATCGAATGCAGACATCGGAATCTGGGTTTCTAGATGTCTGGGAGCGTTCCGGGGTTGCGTTCATCTCGAACACCTGCATCCATCCTTAAGAGCGCGTCGATGTGGCACACAGCTCCAGCCCAGAGGTGTGAATGGGTCCAGAGCAACATGCACTACATGTAGAGCAGCTCGTGCTTATTAGCCTAGTCCACGTGGTGGTAAAGGCACCGCCGAGAGAACCATGAATCGATCAGCCACCACCACAACAGTTAGGGATCTGCGTACGTACGTCCACCAGTGCCACCTAAGCAGCCCACCTACTGTACAACACCACAAGTAGCGCATTGATCACCCCACGTATGGTGAATCATCGTTCCCCAGTAGCACGGGCAACGAGGACCCTCCCCCCCCCCCCCCCCC